TTTAAGTTGTAAATTAATAAAATAATTATTTATTTTTAATCTTGTTTCTTTTTTACTTTGTAGGATACTCATGTTTATTGGTCTTCTTCAAGGTGTCTCTCCCAACGCAATCAACTTGCCGGCAGATTCCTCTCACTTGTTCCACACCACTCCTTTGGGAAATGCTTGAACAATGTTGGAGGTCTGGACATGGCACTGTCCTTCTACCCTGAGTGCTCCAACGGTAACTCTGGCCTTCATTGGTGGGACCACCTTCACTGTGCCATGTCACACTACAAGTTTGTTCTTGCCATTGAGAACACTGTAGCGGACAGTTATGTGACTGAGAAACTGTACTATGCCCTTGATGCGGGTGCAGTTCCTATCTATTTTGGTGCCCCCAATGTATGGGATTTTGTGCCACCCAATTCAATTATAGATGGATCAAAATTCAGATCAATGGAAGAATTGGCTTCTTATGTCAAGGCTGTGGCCGATGATCCCGTTGCATATGCTGAGTTCCATGCATGGAGAAGGTGCGGTGTGCTGGGTAATTATGGTAGGGCTCGTGCTGCAAGCCTGGACACGTTGCCTTGTCGATTATGTGAACTTGTTAGGAGCAAACAAGGGAGGTAAGGAACATTATGAGATAGATATTTGGATTTGAGAAATTCATTCACTTGAGCTAACTTTGTCCAATTGTCTTCTTGAATTATTTTTGGGGCATTGTGGCTCCCATACCTTTTTGAGTAGTCCGAGTCCTGTACTCATAAAAATGGTGGGAAATATCACATAATTCAATGGAATAGTCCTTTGTGGGTTTCACTCAAGCTATGTTTTGATTCAGGCAGCAATGTATCTAGACTTCTACAGCGAAAGCAATCTAATAAAGGTTTACTTTGAAAGACAGGGTGCTTTACTGAGTTGTAGAATTCTTATATACCTCAGATATGAGAATCGACAATGATGATGAGGCACAAATTTTGAAGGCAGGCAGATACACAATCTCTCTCTCTCTCTCTTTTATATAGATTTTTTGCCTCTCTCTATCTCTCTTTCTATTTAACCTGATTTTATATCCTTTCTTTTTTTATTTTCTCCCTCAGTTAGAAAAAAAAAATGAGGAGAGAGAGTGGTAGAAGGGGTTGGAGTTGGAGTTGGAAGTGGTGGCTAGGAGGGTGAAAGTTGATAAAGTAGCTTCGGGTTGTTATATGGGTTTGAGGGTGGCGGTTTGGGAGGCTCGGGCTGCAGTTTTTTAGGGTTTGGCCAAAGAGAATAGCGGTATGCAGAGGGATCTCAAGATAGATGGGTGGAGAAGTGTCTAGGATGAAGAGCAACTATTTGTGGTGTTGGGTCGTGAGGAAGAGAGGAAGACAATTGATATCTGAGCTAACCTAAGCAACAATAGAAAAATAAAATATTATTGTTAAACTCAAAATAGGAAAACACGGAAGGAAATAGAAATGACAACATACCCGATGTAAAACTAGAGTGAATCTCAAGGGGTGGCAGTGGCTATTAGGGGCTCCAGAAATTGGCGGCAAGCTGGGGAAGGTGCTAGACTGCGAGGAATTAGTGTTAAGGCTATCAACTTGCTATCCTATGCGGCAGCAAACCGGGAATGGCTAGAACAGACAGGAAATCAAAATTAGGTTGTCCTGGGGTGTGGGGATGAGAGGGAACAACATCGGGGTGAGCTTCTGGAGGCGGTGTCAGGTTTAGGAGGGCAGATTGGTGGTTGGAGGGATTGGTGGTTTGCTTGAAAACAACAACAACTTGCTATTTGGGTTGGTGGAAGCATGTCAGGTGTGCTGGAATAACACACTGACAGCATCAAAAAGGGGTTTTGGGCTGTGGTAGCAAGGGAGGGGAGCGGGGAGCGAAACAAAAGGACTGGAACAATTGCTACAGTGAATAGGAGGGAGGGGAATGCGATGGAGACAACCGAAACTATAGGAATTTAGTAAAATATGTTGTGTAGAGGTGGCTGCAGCAGGGAAAGATGATGGCGACAGTGAAAGGAAGGATGCGAGGAGTCAAAAAATTTGAGATAAATGCCTCCCGATAATGAACTATTCGATCCCTTAGAAGGAGATCACCACTTC